CGCCAGCAGGGCTCTTTAGAAATTGACCTGGCCATATTCACGATGCATAAGTTTCCATAAGACGGGAATGACGCATCCAGCTCTGTATCATGCAAAACTGCTCCAGGATTCCCTGAGACCCTAGGAGCGCCAAACCCCAGCCCCATGAACCCTGAAAACCTCAAATCCTGAACCCTTAAACCACTCCCCTCATCGCAAGACGGGAGGCTGCCGCTCCTATCACTGTCCATCAGTCTACAGAGATCCAGCAGGCTCTCCTTCGCCGCGATCATTTCCTCCTGTGGGTTCAAGGCTTACAGGGCTTAGGCACGGCCCAAAACTCTTCAATTTTCGACTTTGCTATGAAAACTGGAGTCATCCCCAAGATGAGATAAGTAGACTGACAGGCACGAAGCCGCCGATAGTTGTGTACCCGGGCTTTCCGCATAGGAATGGATAAGTGTTTATAGGGCTCGTGGATGTGATAATACAATCAGGGGCCATATCAGGCTGTATAAGCTTTGCCAAACGCAAGGTGCGGCGAACTCGCGGCATCTACTGCGCTCTCCGGGGGCACCTCTATCTGCAAGCCTGTGCAGTCTACGGCCATGCTCCGTGCAGACCACTTGAGGTTGCGAACCTCAAAACCTATCACCTCTCTCTCTTGAACGGCATTAGGAGGTGTTGGTAACCCCAACGCCCCAAAATTAGGACCCTATGAAAGTCATAGGGTCCTAATTTTGGGGGTTGGGGTTTCCAAAATCCAACAAAAAAATACACCTTACATCCCAGGTCAGGCCGTTATTCATGTCCATCAGCGTCTATGAAAACCAGGAAGTCATGGCAAGTGATTCGTGATTTCTGGATCCCAAGCCCCAAATCCTCAACAAGCCATGCTTCCGACCCATCAACCCTATCATCTTCCTAGCGCGCAGATCCTGAGCCCTAAGCCAAGAGTTATGTTCGCAGCCCCAACTTCAGGTCTGCTGGCCTCCTTGGCCATTGCCTGCTGGTGCAAGTCCAGCTCCTTTGCGCTTGCTGCACGCTCGACAATGACCTCAGTGAGTCTAAGCCGTCGGCAAGGAGATAAGCAGCATATAAGCCCAATGCAGCACCAGCAAAATCCGCCAGAACCCTGCATAAGCTCTCCATACCCTCCACCCTAAGCGCGAGCGCAGCCAAGAAGCAGCCAGGATGAGATTGAGCATCGCAAGCTGAAGGCTGATGTAAACAAGGAGGAAATAGCCACTTGCCCAGTTGGCCTCATTGTTTTGTGAAATTCGAAATGTTCAGCTAGTTCCGACTTCTCAGGGTCTTGAGGGTGTTATGATTTCAGGCTACTCTGCATTGGGCTCCCTTCCCAAGATGAGCTATAGTCTAAACTCCCAGTATCTCCCTTAATAGCCCGTAAAGTAGTCCCCTATATAGCCTCCTTTAAGGAGTTTTTACTTTAGCTCAATATGATCCTTATATAACCCTATATATATATATATACATGGCAGATTCCATGTCATTGTCCATGTTCTTCCCCATTTGATTCTCCATCATTGGGGGTAATACCCCTAAACCCTAGATGACAACTCATCACATGGTAGTTTCCCAAAATAGGGGACCCTAATATCGACCCCAAAATACCATATTCCTTATTATTGGGACCCCAAAATGGTACCCCTAATTTTGGGAAACTCCCACATAGATTGTGGATGTTTGTCGGGCCACACCTCAGCCTTTAGGTCAGGAGATGCCAGGAGGAGAAGGTTGAACGTGGAGCCAGTGAATCTTATCTAGGGGGTTATATAGGGGTTATATAGGAATAATGGAAAAGAAAATGGAAACTAGTATAGGGTTTGGGGTTTAGGGTAAGGTTCCCCAGTACCCTCATAATAATAAGGTTGCCCTTTTCCTAATGCTCAGCTTGAATAAGGAGACCCCAAAGTAAAAAAGGCCAAAGGGTACTGGGGTACCTAGTAGTACTGCTGCTGCTGGTATCTTTACTATTGTTATTGTTATAGGGGGGTATTATTCCGACACCCCAGATGAACTTGAACCAAACTGAGCCAAGGATCTTTCTCGATCAGAGGGATCGCTAGCTGGCCCCAGCCATCACCCATCATGACGGTTTGGAAAATTGTAATCTGCGCCTCCCATACCTGGAGCCAACTGGATTTCTGGAGTACAGGCAGCACAGGCCGGAGCAGAGATTTTGGGCGAAACCCTAAGCCCGAGCGCTAGCTGCGCTGCATAAGAAAGATGCGCGCTTGCGGCATAACACCTGGCAGCAAGTGCTCAGGCACTGGACCCTGCCTGACCCGGGCATGGTCCCGGTCAATATTCTTTGACGGGGCAGGGCCCGGTTTTTAAGATCACTTTCTTGTAGGGACCTATTCGAGGGTTCAGTTTCATGACATGGAAGTAGCCGTTTGAAAAAGCTCCCAGCAGCCCAGCTGGGTTCTTTGCCTAGGAAGCGTGAGAAAATCAGGCCATGGAACTCAAAAAGGCTAAAATGATTGGCTAGCCTTCCGAATCTAGGTACCCTGACTTAGAGCGCCAGCTCCCCATGACTGGCCACTTGTGCAGGTTCCCCTGCTGGCCCGGCAAGCCACGGAAGCGATGAGATGCTACATTCCGAAGTCTATTGCGGAGGTTCTCATTGCCATCCGTGAATGTGTTGCCTTGTAGCTTCCAGCCTCCCGCAAGGATCCGAATGCGACGCGCTTCGGCATTCTACATGCAGCTCAGCTGCCGTCGCGAAGGCACGGCCACAACGCTCGCAATCGGTATCCGCCCAGATCCTGGGTCATGTTTGCATCGGGAGTTCACACCAACCTCCACCCAAGTGTCACGCGGGAATTGCAGAAGGTTTACACATCCTTGAGTATTGTGTATAGAGCTAGATGAAAAATCCTGGAATCCTGGTACGGCTGGTCGTATGAAGCAACTCTTCCGATGCGAGATAGGATTTCTCTTCATTGTCTCCTCTAAAACCGGAGTGGAACCTCATACTTGCAGTCACCAGCTTTTCTACAATGACCCGCTCGTACACGCACCAATGACCCTACAGCGAAGTCTACAAGCTCCCCATTTGGACCCGGTAGCCTTCTGGTATGTGATGCTGGCAGGTGAAACTACAAAAATAACCCTAAACCCTGAACCCTGAACCCAAAACTCTAAAACAAAAAACAAAACCCTAAATCCTAGCATGATGACTTGGTCCTGGACTCGCCTGCTCAAACGAAAGCTTAGCAGAGTCACAGGTAACCGGGTAACCTTTCAATACGAATTGAGATGCAACGCAAAGATACTGTTACCCTGAACCCTAGACTGCTATCATAACATTCTCTACAGGATTGCTGCTCGGGAAATCAACTTAGATGACTGCAATAAGGAAGCCCTATTATTAATATTATACCCATATTATGGATGCTAAATTAAGTTCAGTTCCTTAGCAGCAAGCCCAGTCTAAAGCAACTCTGTGAGCCAGGGTACTCTTGGTTGATGGGATGCAGGAGTTGCACCTGCAACGCGCATTCGCGAGATGCTTGCCTGCCATGATCTGCCATGTGCCTTGAGGCCTAGGCAACCTGAATTGAAAGGGGAAAACAGGCGTCTGACACCACGTGTACATCTTCTGGCATGCAATTGCCATTGAAATCCCTTGAAGCTTGAAACCTTGAACGGAAACCCTGCTGCATGCCATCAGGTACAGCAGGTCATGGCTACAAAAATGGAAAGCAAAGCCAAGGAAGCCACTCCAAAATGTGTGTTCGGTGCTCTGCGCAACCTGTAGTCTTGCTGAAAGCATTCCTGTAGAGAGCTTAGCAAAAAAACGGTGGGCATCCCACAAGTGAGTCAAAAGCAAAGAGTTGGTGTCATAGGGTGGCCCAATACCCTGGAGCACTAGATTCCAACTGATTAAGAGGCCCTTGCTCATGTCTCAAGCAGCAAATCCGGGGGCCGTGCTGCGAGAACAGACCAACTCGTCATCATAATGAGCACCTGAGGAAGTCCCACGGGCATCTTCTGGGTTGCTGCTGTTAAGGAACTTGGGATACTATAAGAAGGCAACCTATAATTTACTATATACCCATATTATGGCAACTATTATGGCAACTGAATTGGAGTTCCTCAAAAGCAACCCAGTCTTCTGACTGTCTTCTGGAACCGGCTTAAAATCTGCAATCAGACCTGGCTCAAACCTTTCACTCCTCTACTGATGCTCTATGATGCAGTCCACAAATCCCAGGACCTTCAAGCCAAGGGCCCCTGATAAATCAAAACAAGGGGGGTCTTCCTTACACATGCCAAAACCGCTGAAAAGCTTGAAGCAAACTCCCCGAAAAGGAGCTCCAGTTTTTTCAGGGGAAAAGCCCAAATTGGCCATGACACCATGACCATGCCAAAAAGGATCGACTTGGCCGCTGCGGCGAAACTCATCCTCTGTATGGCGTTTGGTGCTCTAAGTGGCCGTGACTCAAACCAAATATGCTTACTGGTGGTTAGTACGGGGTAAGGGAATAGAATCCATATACAACATGTTTCCTTTTTCCCTACTAGACCCCAAGAAGTATATGTCCCAATGGTGAATCATGTTGAGAGACATGTGAAGTTGTCATCATGACCATTGCCGAGTCTTGAGCCTCTAGTTCTACCTAGAGCGCCATTCGCCCATGATTATAGACTACTTTCCCCTGGTTGGCTACCACTTTGGGCTAAACCCTAAACCCTATTTTGCATGACTAGGCTTTCCAAGTACTCCAAGGTAACTTAGCTGAACAAAATGGAATGTGCGTCAAACTATGGTTCCTATATGCGCCCAAACAGGCGCGCCCTTTGTGCTCGAGCTAGTGAACCTATACGGAACAAGAATAATCGATTGCCCCCCCTGAGTACAAGAGGAGCACCGGCTACAATACATGAGTACAAGGTTCCGACTACAAAGTACATATGGCAGTCACAATGTTTTGGACCTATGCGTGAAGATAGGCCAAGGTAACCTCTGGAGGGGGGCGCTTCAGCACGTTTTATCTGAGCGGCAGCAACATCTTCAGCTCCCATATCTGTCGCAGAACTCGGAATATTCGAGCCATCTTGCCCATGCGAAATATCCTTGGCTCTACAAGCTAAGCAAAGGGTAGGGTGAGCTGGAGCTTGAAATGCTGGATGATTTGCAGTTCTGCAAGTCTGGTCCCTGGATGAGATATGACCATGTCATTTTATTTGGGGAGCTTTGGTACAATGAAAACAAGTACTAATTCTTATATCATATCCACATGTGAGCCAGAAGTGGGGTTTGAGGTCTTTGTGTTGCCGGGAAGCTTGGCAAAGGCCATGGAATGATGGACGAGAAGCCATGCTCAGGTTTTTTGGTTTTGAAGGACATACTGTATAAGTGCAATACCAAGCTGATATGGAGAGGTGCTACAAGGTTTAGGTTTTCTCACCCTCTGCGCCTTCACTTGAGGCCTAGATAGGGCGACTAACGTAGGCCTCATATTTTGCTCTTCCTTACCCTTTAACTCAAGTAACAACCGCATTTCTACGTGGACTCCAGCAAACGGGTCCTGATCTGAAAATGCAGGCTTTCCACCCTTCCTACTCCTCCAAACATTTGTGAGGAAGTGAGGAAGAAGTATAGGGATCGGAGTAGACAAGTAGAGCGAGAAGAATGCCACCCTGACAATACAATTAAGGCAGGCAAGGACCACTAATGAAATGATGGGTAGAAAAAGGTGAAACAATCGCCCGCAGACGCCAGGTGCAACCTACCTATCCCGCGGCTCCAAATTCTCCAAAATACTGCCTAAACAAGTTCACATACCCAATATTGAAGCACGCAATCAGTGTCGCCCACGCTTCAGTTTGAACCTTTGCTGCATTTCGTCCTGAAAGTCAGACGCCAAGACACCGCAACATGGAAACTCCGCTGCCAGACAGCTGAAAGAGACCCGTGACTGTGAGGGCTACATCCAGCAGGACAACCTGAGCAGTGTTGAGAACAATGACCCCCCCCGAACACAGGGTAACTTCCCTCCGGCCCTTTGTAAGGGGCCCTTCTCCAGGGTTCATTATGTGGTACCATACGAGTTTACAAGAATGCGGCTGCGTGCATTTTCATAAGCCACATCCAACATAAAAAGGAGCGGTAGGTACAAGGAGTTCTTGTCTACTGCTCCAGACGGGTCAACAGGCTGGGGTCTTCTGACCGCACAGCAGCGGAAAGCGGATCCCTAAGTGACCAAGAAACAAGGGTCTTGGGGTACACATAGGTGATATAAGCATTATGAGGCATTGCTATCCGTCACTCCTGAGACATCTATATATCAAGTTCACACTGGCCTTAGGTAAAGACCTGTCTGGCCCTGAACCCTTTGCGCCAAAAAGGAGCCGTGAAGTCCAGGAGGTTCCAGTAATCCTGAAAATACCTCAGTCAGGCTCCGGGTTGAGGACTTTGAGATGCAGTGCCTGTGGGGCGGATCGAAAAAATTGTTGGGGGGGGAGGGCCCTTTCGCAACGAGAGCAATAGTATAGTGGGGTGTACAAGGAGGCCCCATAGTTCTTGAAACTCCCCAGTGCAGCGTCAATCTCAGCAACTCCCGGGTAAACGCTTTCAACAAGGATGCCTGTGGATGTGCGCATACTTGGCTACCGCTTATGCGCATTGTCCTCGACTCAAAAACTTTGTTTCCTGGTACATCTGCTTTTGCGCGAGAAGAATTCCAATGAATACTCTTACTCAGCCGTCGAACGCAATCAGATGATGCCCAGGTAGAATCGTGACTCCTATCATACTGGTGGTTAGTAGGGGGAGTAACCCTATATAAATGTATCTCCTTATTCCCCTAGTAAACACCAGTGAGCACTTGCAACTGCACCGGGACTCTGGAGTAAGGCTCCACAAGCTTTTCAAGAGTCGACTCTGCGCCTGGTCACATACAAGCTATAGTCTAAACTCCTAGTATCCCTTCAAACAACCCCTATAATAGTGCCCTAGATACTCCCCTGTAAGTTTTTTAGACTATATCTCATATGATTGCAGCTCCGACCCTATGTCCCCGAACAGAAACGCTGCTCCATCATCCTGAAACCTCACCATGTCTAAACTAAAATGCCACTCCCTGCGCCCAAAATCCAATCTCCAAATCTTGAACCATAAATCAAGGTGACAACCCAACTCCCTGATCCCTATAAACCATACCCTGGAGCCTCCAGCGCCAGGCGTAGATCTTCACTGCCGCCTCTATTGAGTACACCTTGCCAGCAACAGGGTGCCCAAACGCTAGTTGCTTAGAAGTCTTCCTTGTGTTGCAGGAGCACAAACAGGGGGTAGAGGAAAAGCAACCAAATAACTGTCATTAAGCAGTATACATTCCAAGGACATGCTGCTGCTGGCTTGCGGCTATCGCAGTGGGAGCAAAGGGTGTACCAAACTCAGTCGCAGTACGAGCTAGGCTTCGAGTTTTTCTGAGTAGCATATTTGCGTCAACAGCTTCTGTGCTGCTAGACAAGGCTTCGCTTCCCAGGTGTCAGCCAAGGGGCTACCAAAAACACCAAGTTCCTCAGCTGCATCAGATCAAGAATTAGGAAGCAGATGATGACCTTGCATCATGTTGCTGACTGCCTGTCGGATCTTCTGCTCCGAATTTCATTGGCTGGACACGGCTTTTGTCTCAAGCGAAGAGACCCCACAAACAACCCCAAATCCAATGAGATCTGTGGCGCTTCCTCGGATCCCTCCTCAAGCTGAATTAGGTCCCGGTTGGCCGCGGATTCGGAAAACTAGGACAAATTGATTCGGAAATTAGCACATGGCGGATCGGATAATGGAAGCTGCAAAATGGAATCGGGAACTAAGAAAGGCAGGTTCATAAACTGAAAAACGCGAGACTGAAATTCGGATTCGGGATTTAGATTCGGCATTTAAAAGCGCGGGATTCAGATATCGGGAACCAGACTCAGAAATTGGAAGCAAGGATTGGTAAACTGCACGCACGGACGTGAAACTGCTGGAATCGGAAAATCCTCTTTACGCGCGATTTCGGAAACTAAGAGCTTATAAGATAATGCGGATTGGGAAACTACGGGCGCGGAACATGGGATTCTGGAACTACACCGTCGGAATCGAAAACTATACGCGCAACTCGAGAACTGGGGTTCCAAAACTTGGAAGCTAAGTTACCAGGCGCTTCTCAATATGAAGGTACCCTTGCGGACCCCTTGTGCCAGAGTGATTACTGAAGCATCATCCCCCCATACCACACCCCCTCCCTACATACTAAACCGCCTCCTATACTTAGACCACATGACCCTGCAGTAGCTTGAGGGAGAGACATCTGGTGCTTTGAAGTCGGGATGGAACAGCTTGCGGGACAAGATCTAGTCGAGTACGGGCGGGTCACGCAGAATTGAACTGGGCCACGTTCATGGGGCCTGGGGCCTGCTGCCCACATGGATAAGGTCTGTAGGGTTCAGGGTTTAGGGTTCCCTGTGCACTAGCATGTCTCCAGGGCCAGGCATCTTCATCATGGCATGCTGAGAAGAGTGGGTTTAAAGATGATGTTTGTCTTTCAGCCGGAGTCTCTGAGTCGGCGCATCTACTGTCTCAATCGGTGCAAATTGTTTCTGAGTCGCAGTTTCTGAGTCGGTCCAAAACTGTTTCCTGAATCAGTGCAAATATATTTCTGAATTGCAGTTTCGAATTCGGCCCATTTGTTTTCTGATCGCTGCAAATAGTTTCTGAATCGTAGCTTCAGAATCTCCATTCATTGCTGAATCCGTGTTGATCCTTAGATGCTGTATATAAGTCTGAAGCATAAGATCCGAACCCTGGACTATATAAGGATCTGCGATATGCCTTGGGGTTTCATGGATGTCTCTTGCAACGCATGCTGCATCTTGAGCCTATGCCTTGGGCACCAGACGTGGAATGCTGCTTCCCATCTTTCTTGAAGGACGCTTGGATTTTCGCTTCAGTGGATCCACTAGCAGGCCAGGTAGGATTTAGGGTTTACAGAATACGCTGGGATCACTTGACGAGCACAATCATGGAAACGTAAACGTGAACATGCACCAGGCTTCAAGACCCTCATCCACATGGGCGCCATCTGGTTGTCCGCAGTCGCATCGGTTTCCAAAATAACGATGACCTTGCAGGAGGGTGTCTAGTCTACATACCAAGCCTCCTGGCCACGGACTATATATGCATGTCAATGTAGATCTGTTCCCCGATGTACTGATCGCAGATGTATACCTGCGGATCAATCGGTGATCTGGTGATTAAGCCAAGTAAGATCCTAGGTCCTGAACTATTCCCTCAAGCGGTATAGTTTGACTCCATATATTGGCAACTGTAAAATTCCCATTCAGCATATGGCTCTAACAGGCAGGAGACAGGCCAACTCTTTCCCAACTGAGCTCAAGACCATGTTGCTACCTCGGAGCAAAGGGCAGAAGGTTCCAGGGTTGAAAAATGCTGGCGACTCACTCTGACCGTAATCCAGTAATCCATCCACACCCAAGATTTGTGCCCTCTACAATATATATATATATACATACATACATATACATGTATATGTGCGTGCGTATGTGTATATATATATATATACGTATAGGGTCTACTAACCACAAAATTCCTTGAAAGGACAAAGCTCAACGCCCCCAAGCCAACACAGGAATTAGCTTATAAGGGATATAAGTATACTTACTAAATCACCCTGACCCGCCAAGTACAAACCAACCCAGCTCAAAAACAACTCTGCAGCCAGGCATCTGATGATGACCCCAAGGAGCAGCTCGAGCTTTGGGGACTTGCAAAACTCGGCCACCTCCACGCTTTTGACAAACTGCAGCTTTTAGGGAGACCTTCTGAATCTGTTTGGGGAATCATTGCTTGAGGAGCTCCGAATTTAGGACATGCATTTAGGGCCCGTAATCTTGCAGAGACTATGTTGCTTCCAAGCACCAACTCAAACGGTCTCTGTATAATCCCTGAACATAATCATACATAATCCTCTTACCCCTTACAGCATAGCGCCTTTGATTCATTCATGCAAACCCTAAGATACCCCCTGCAGAAGCGCGATGGGGTCTTTAGGCCGCAGACCCGCCTTGCGCCGGATGGGATGCTGTATCGCGCTGATCCCACTTCTGCTCACGCTACGTCTTAGTTGTCCGCGAAGACCTTGGGGGCGGAGGTTCCACGCGTGAACTCAACTATCTTACTGGTGTTTGTAGGGAAGAATGTCAAGGATCGTGGAAACTTCGAAAGTAGATAAGGTTTATTTAGAGGATTATACTTACTGGTGGTTGGAAGGGAAAAAGGGAATATAAGGATAATCTTTACATAATCTCCATATAATGTATTCCCTCCTTCCCTACTAACCACGAATAAGATATAGAGAGACCCGAGTGCCCCTTTTTCTGAACGATCCACTCAGCCTTGCTGCAGGCTATGCTGCAAGGTGGGACCTACCTGACCTTTCAGACTCAAAAGAAGAGGGTTTAGGATTTAGGGTTTAGGGTTTAGGTGTGTAGCTGCTGTCAAGGGTGGAAATTCTCTCACCCCTCGAACTTCTGTCGCAATTCCAAAACTTTACATTTGCTTTGGGGAGGCTGCTGAGCTTCGCAAGATTTCCTCAACAAAGCCAGGTTAGTTTTAGTTGTAAGAAGGTCATAAACTCCATAAACACTACCGTTGGCAGGTTCAAATCGTACAATGGTGTCCCTTAGGTGCCAGGAGGCTCGTGGAGTCCTCTTCAATTCTGGCGTTCCTGGGCTGAGGCTCAGGAGGGCTTGGTTACACAGGACAGTGATGGACAGTGTAAACATCTATGCGGGCTCTTAGGTCTTTCTTTAAAGTGAGCCCCGAACCCTAGTGTTGAAAATTGCAAGAAAGTCTATGGAACTCTCCAGTGGGTCTGCGCAGTTCCAACACATTAAAAGAAGGGTTCTGGAATCTATGCGTCCTTACAAGCAAGTGCTTAGCCTCACGGCCCATGGCAGGTGCACAAAGATTGATGACTACGCTCGCAACCACAAAAGCGCCAAATTCCGAACCACATGCAGATGAGAGTCATGTTCTTTGTGGCTGAGGCTGTGGAAACTGCGATCGCCATCCTCTTTTGCAGGACTTGGCGATTGCAAATCCGTGTACAAATAGGCTACCAACACACTAGTATGCATCGCAAGGCCTTCTACCAAAGTGAAATGTCTGGAAGACACCTAAGGAGGAAATAATGTCTGGAAGACACCTAAGGAGGCAAACCAATAATGCTGCATTACATTACATGGGCATTTAACCAATGGATGAACCCTGAGCGTCAAGCTCCCATGTTCCCCACACCTGTCCTCTTTGAAAGGGTGGCAATGCAGCCAACGGCACGGCCAATGGCAAGGCTTCCCGTTGTGGGCGTGAAGTGTAAAGACCGACTTGAACTATTTGGATTTTTTCGGGGGGGATTACCTTGGGAGGCACAACGATACACGAGAATTATGGCTTGGGATCATCCCGGGGGAAATTTTGAGAAGCAGTCATATGTAACGCCGAGACTTTTGATCGACCCTTTGGCCTAAAAGAAGAAGCTACCAACAGGATGGCGGGGGGGGCCCATTCTGCGTGTCTCAGGCCGAACGGCCTAATGAAGAAAGTCTAAGCTTCATGCTGTCCCAAATCCCTCGGCACACAACCCAATCAAGTTGCAGAATTCCAATCATCGTCAGACAAGATTTTACACAACAAATATCATGAGATGACTGTCGCTACGCACGAGAGGCAGTTCTACGCTAATAGGACTCACCTGGAGCCTTCGCATGGCCACGCGGATGCGAGAACTTCTCAGGAGGACCCTTTCTGGGGTCCCTCAAGGGAAGACATGATTTCAGGGTATAGGGAATTCAGGGTTCTCGGCCAGGTAACTGGGAGCTGACCCTGACTCCAAGACATACTGCTACAGTATGAGGAAGTCCCTCACGCATACCCTCCCAACATCACAGCATTTGATAATCTGTCATTGCTTTTCACAGGGGAACCCCTTTAGAAGGACCCAAGCCCTGTGAACCGCCTCAGCCGAGACCGGACTAAAAAGATCCGCAAGCAGGAGCAACCAGCTTTTGCTATGGGACAACTGAATTGAATTTGAGTGTTGTCCATCTCTATGTTGTGACTAGTAGGCACCCTTCCATGCAGGACTCTTCACGCAGGACGCGTCCACAAACACTAACATGCGACGCCGACCCAATGCAAAGCCCTACCAAAGATGACGCCCAACTCCTAGTATCCCCCTTAATGGCCCCATGGGGAGTCCCCAAGCACAATCCCTTATATAGCCCCCTTGAAGGAGTTTAGACAATGGTTCGAGTAAAAACTGCTTCAGGCGTGCAACCCCTCTACACCCGCACGCCCGCAAAGAAAACGTCAGCCCGAGACCGCAACGTCTGAAAGTAGGAGCCTGCCCTTCAAACTAATTTATAGCAAGGGCTATAGTCACCCTTAAGTAGACAGAATATGGTTTTGGGTATATTATAATAAGATCCCCATATACCCCATATTCTATCTGCCCAAACATCAAGATCGTGTGGTTCCTCTGCTCCCTTGGGCTCTTCTCAAAAAGTCTCCAAGTAAATGCCCTGCGCTTCGAAGGCTGCCCTTCAGAGTGCTCTGGGAGACACACCGAGGACTTTCAGCACACGCTGCTGAGCATGGCTGATGATTTTGCAAGGCGTCGGAGGCAACTTTAGCCTTGACCGTTTAACCTTTGAATGTTTAAGGTGTTTGTGTTGTGAGAACCTGAACTGCTCAGTCAAGGAAACTAGTTTGCCTGTTCGGATCAGGTGTCTGGTTGCTATGACAACAACTTTTAACCGTCAACCTTGGGCCGGCATCCGTTAGGAAAGCAATGCCCGAGTGTGTGATTCAAACTTGAGCCCTACTCCGCCAGGCAGTCGCATAGCCCATGTTACCGTCTGACCTCGAAAACTGATGTACAATTCCTGTTTCAGATCAAGTTTATCTTTGCTTCCTCGGTGGTGCCTACAGTAGGAAGCCAGATCCATTTATTTGCGATGGATCCCTGGCAAGTGAAAGCTTAGGGGGGGAAGGATTTCAACAATGTCGCGGCCATGCAAATGACTCAGCCAGACCAACAGTTTGCTCAGAGGGCCTAATGTAATTCAGAGCAGACGCTCAGGAAGGCCAACGTGCAAATGGTTGCCTTGAAAGATACCTGCTGAAAGACACAACTTACGGACTAGGATGTCTGTGATCCAGGCAGGAATACTGAAAAAATGCTTCGCTCGAGGGACTATAGGCTACAACTTGTAACTTGAGTTGTATCCATCCTGCCTAGCCCCAGAGGAATTCCAAGGTGGTGGTGCCAAAGCTGAGCTGGAATGCTTTCTGTTGGGGGCCTCAGCCAGTGTCCCAGCCCCAAATCCACAGTCCAACATAGGGGTGTGAATATAGTTATGCAAATTATGCTCCTTAACAGCAATCACAGAGTCTGCATCAAGCATGGCAGGCGTCGCACTGCAGGCATCATAGGAACCTTGAGGAACAACTTGTGAGCCATAGTCTAAGCTCCTAGTACGTGCATCCCCCTCAAGAACCCCTATAGTAGTCTCCTGCAATCCCCCATATACCCCCCTTTAAAAGGAGTTTAGACTACAGCTCATGTCGAATCGTAGATGAATGCATGACAACACCCGTCATCCAAAAGCCTGCAATGAACTCATGTGAAGTCCGATGAGCCCAACTAACCTCCCTTGAAATTTGCAATTTTGCATCCTAAGCCTGCAAAATCCTCACATCCGTACCTCCTCCCCCAAAAAAGACCCAAGCTTCATAGTCTTTTGAGACATTGCACGATAACAAACAGTTGGATCACTTGGGGCCGATCCTTGGAGTTCACAGGTGGGTTCAGGATTGGGGACAATTCAAATTCACTGGGTGGTAATTTGAAGGCTCCCAAATAGATGTGTCCCGTTATGAAAGAATGAAGAAGTAATTCTACCAAAAATGGCACCCAGTTTATTTGGGCCAGGGAAGGAAGGCTGCAGCTTTTTCAAATGCTGGGATCTCATTACCTGCAAGGATGTGAGAGCACAGAGTACGCCAGTTCGAAACTCCGATGTTCAGCGCCCCACACAAATCCCAGCAACGGGAGTTGCGGAAAACCATGGTCAAATCAGGATTTTGTCTTTGTGCTCCTCGGTCTGCTGTTTCAGCCCATGGGCAACAGCGCCCAATCCAACTCCATACTTGTACCTGGGACAGGCAAAGACCTCAACATGCCAAACGGTCTCAAGGACGATGGTCATGGCAATCATCTAAGCCATCAAGTTCAGGATTTCGTTCAGTCCTCAGAACCTCCTGGTCTTTGGTGCAAAAAACGGGACAGCAGCCTCGAGTCCATTCCTGTTGCACTCATTTTGACGGAGAGACCCTGGAAATCGTGTCAGGCAGCCACTTACAGAGTTTCAGGCCAAGGTTTTGTGGAGAACTTTTGTTGATGTGAGTGTGCCCTGTAAGTCAAGCCCCAAACTCCCAGAACCAAACCAGGTTTCAAGGTGACGCATTGCTTTCGAACCCGTTTCTAAAAACCACTGGAAGGGAACCCATGACTGTGACAACAAAACCTGCCACAGGATCGCGGGGCCAGCATTTTCAAGCCGGGCCACATGAGGAATCTCACTTTCGGCAGCCGTAGCCCTGAAGGCAGGAGCAAACGTGCCTTTTGCTGGATCTTAAGGGTTTAGGGTGCTGTGCTCAGGTCTTGACATGCACTAAGAAGCCCTCAATTCATGGCCCGAGAGCAAATGCCCTTCATCCCAACCCTTGCCCCAAGAATGCACAGCCCTTTTAACCCTCGACAACCCCCAACCCCACCTCACCCCCCGACTTGGGCCTCGGGGCCCTCGCCAGTAAAGTTGCGGCCCTCCTCGCAGAGCACCGCCGGAGCAAAGCCCTTGCTGCCACCTGATTTCTTTAGGGGCGGTGTCTTCCTCCTCATCTCCCGACCGCCAACGCCTAGCCAGTCCTTGCAACCTTAACTCTGGGTCCCAAGCCTAACTCAGCAGTGAAGCAAAAAAAGGGCCGGGGCACCCATGAAGTGAACAATCTGCAGCCGCTCATCGTCGAATCGCAGATCCTGGGCGTCTCTTCGCATGTTTTGGCTGAGGGCTGCAGAGTTTGGGTCTTGCTCAGGCTTGCCCTATATACACTAACCATTACTGTGAGTTATTACCCGAACTTGCCAAGGTATGCTACAAGCTTACAGGTGCTCTTGCGGGTGTGTGTATATGTATATATATACATATATACATATATACATGCAAATATATATATATATACATATCTATCTAGGGCTTGAGGATTAAAGGGTGTAAACCATAGCCCAGCACCAAGACACATTGTTTAGGGTTTAAACTTAGGTAAGCTTTACGTCGCGAGGTTGGGAGGCCAGGCCATCAGACCGTACAAGTTGCCCGCTCAACTGTACAGGTCCTCAAAATTCTGGAGTGCGGGGGGGGGAGTTTCACTCAGCTCTGCTGTGGTATGACTATGGGGCTCTGACTTGATTCCCTTTTCCTCCCTTACAGAAAGGTATAGGCTTCCCCTACTCTAAAGCGTTTGGCTGGTCCTCAGGAGTCAACATGTCTAGAAGCAACAGGCAAATTGTTGTAACGTTCCACGTTCCTTGAATCCCACATACGCCTTAAGAAATCCCTTCCGTCTGACAGGGCCCACGACCAATCCCCTTTCTCTGCCTCCATGGACTTGTCGGAAATTTGCTCGAAGCAATGTCTCAAGGTGCAGCCGCCACCTGTACATCAAGAACGCATTGGTTAGGGGTACGCTCGCCCAAGGTAGGTTCTCTCATTATGTGGGCATGTACCAAGGAAAATCAAGATGCTGGAAGGAGACTGGGACTAAACAAATGAAATCTAGTAGTTTCCATTTTCTTTTCCATTATCCCTATATAACCCCTAAGTAACCCCAATATATACAGGATGATCCTAGCAGGCGGTGATGGGTGTGCTTTCGCTTCAGGGACTGTTTGAGATAAGGCCGAGACAATGTGCGCAGATTTGCAGCTCTTTGTTTGGCTTCCGGCCACAAGCGGGGTGCTGCTGTTCAGTGGGAGCACGTTTTGGTGTACTGAGAGGGGGCTTTGAAACTGAAAGTTCACACCTTTCTTGGCCAATATCCAGGCTGCAACCAATGCCTATTACAGTATAGTAGTTTCCATTTTCTTTTCTATTATCCCAATTCAACCCATATATACTATGGTAGTTAGTAGTTGCCATTTTCTTTTCCATTATCCCAATATAACCCCAATATACCATAGTAGTTGGCATTTCCCACTATCCCCATATAACCCCAATATACTATAGTCTATAGTAGTTTCCATTTTCCTTTTCCATTATTCGCATATAACCCCGATATACTATAGTTCCTTCCATTTTCTTTCCATCATCCCCTTATAACCCCAATATAACCCTGATATTACCCCGTTGGGTACAGTCTTCTTGCTGGCAGGCAGCGGTTGTACACGATGCCGCTCTCAAAAGCCATGTGCCCATGAACGAGCTTGTGCCCGTTGCCGAAATACCTCAAGCTTCAAGCTTCTCTTCGCTATGTGCACGGTGACGTAGGGAATGGCAGTCCTCCCTGTAAATGAATGAGGACCACATACACTCCATCTTGACCGAGTTTACATAGTGGATCAGCGTCCGAGTCGTCCGAGTTAGCTCAGTCTGATTTCAGCGGGGAAGCCCAGACGGGCAGGACTCAGGGCTCAGTGTTTGGCACCCCAGAGGCGACTGCCATTGTTTGCTGCAGACGAATTCTTCGGGCTGCGCTATGTGTTGTCAAAACAGACCCGACGTCATGGGCAGCCTACCGTCGCGCAGCCACATACAGAGAAGAACTCGTGGCTTCCGTTGGTTTAGAAGCAACTTGATGGGAGCGGGTGACGGCCCTGTGCCTCCTTCTAACGTGAGCGCCGGGCTTGGGCTTCACTTGGGAGCTCTGAATGCAATGAAGTCGCAGGTCGTTAAGACAAATCCTTAGTTCAGAAATGCACCAAGGCTTACCATTGCGCAAGTAGTCCTCAGAAAGCCTGAAACCTTTTCGGAACAACAGCCCTTCCCCTTCCCCTTCGGCATTGCCCACTTCACAGCTTATTTTAGCCCACATCTGAATTTGATGGCTACACAGCATAAGCTTCTTGAATATAGTCGCCTGCAATGTCTCGCGGAGGTTCTGGTGTGCTTGAAGGCTGCAAACTGGACTCCAACACACCCTATCTGGCCTTCAGCTACCCCTCTGTGCCAAAAATCTAAAGTGTTCTTCCAAGACCAGGTCCACGATCGGCTGCTACAAGGCAGCGCATTCACAGCTGTTCAGAGCGCGCGGCGTATGTTGGGCAACCATGAGTCAAAAAGGCATGGGCGTAGCACACGTCGGGAATCAAAGAAGTTCATGTCGGGAACTACAAGGGCTCGCCCTACCCCAGCCATCCCTACCCTGGCCTAGCGTGGGCGCCAGGAGCTACAGGAACCATGTGCACATGTCAAGCAACCATGTGTTAGGACCTACCCTCACAGCCAAGCCCTCCTCGTAAAGTGTTTTGATGACGTCCCTTCAAAGTGAGTCCAGTTTTCAAGGGGCAAGGTGGCACGTGCTGTTCTTGCCTGACTCCGACACACACCTTCACATGTGTATATACATGTATAACTACATAAATGCATATCGCAGTTTTCAGGGGCAAGATGACACGTGCTGCTCTTGCCTGACTCCGAAGCACACCTTCACATGTGCATATATATACATAACACCTGAATGCATGTATATATATATATGATATATACCTAAGCATGCAGAAGAAGACCAGCCTGGTTACACGTACCTAGGCTGAGCAAATATCTGCATGCATACATCTGTCTACAGTTCGAAGGCGGAAAGCTTCATCTTGCAGCCCAGAATCTGCTCGTTGCTCATGCACAGGACGCCCGTCTTCTGCAGCACAGGGTTCGAATAAGCAAAGATATTTCCCAAGTGAGGGCAGGATGTGGTAGATGTTTTTCATGACAAGTAGCTCCCTATTGAACAGTCTAGCCCAGGTGATGCGCTGCTCACCACGTGCAAAAAACAAAAGCTCGGTAATGCCAGGACACTTTTAGGAACCTGCCCTTTGTCTCAAGGGTTCGTGTGCATCCGTCCCACTGCTACCACAGGAAACCCTAAGTCCGAAAACACTTCTCCCGGTTGCTGGGTTCACCCCGAGCGGCCCCGATGCGCCAGTTCTTTGGCGTTTCTGGACCAAGGCGGTGGGCGTCGAAGGTGTCCTTGAGATTTGCGGATGCGAGGGTGGTGGGAGAGGTGTTACCTCAGAATTATATACTTTCCCAAAACCTGTCCCTGCAAGTACTAGTACCTAAATCCCAAATACTTAATTCTCAAGTACTTGGACTCTCCGTGAAAATGAACACAAAATTATCCGTTCCTTGGACTGATCTATGTAGAGCACTCCACAACCAGCCGCACTGCCGCTGATAAACCCACAAAACATCCATAAGACGGAGGCCGAAATGATTTGGAACATCATCTGGCTGAGATACCCTATACCACGACTACACAAGGATTCTAGATCCACGAAGTCGCTAAATTCTCTTGATCAACCCTTTGATGATCCCGGTTTCCATGTCATTTTCCCTTTTCTTCTCCATTTGCTTCTCCATCATTGGGATACTGGACCCTAAACACCAATGTATCCTTTTTCCTCCTGGTTTCGCCCATCATGCCCCCAAAATCCTGTATACCCCTGCATAGCCCCTTATATTGTTGGGTAATCATTCAAAGGGCTCAAAAGGTGGGATGAAGGAAGGTGGGGTATAGGAAATATGCCTCAATATAGCAGAGTATATACTAAGGATCCTTTAACCCCACCGACCTTCATCCCACCTTTTGAGCCCCCTAAAGTATTGGGGTTCCTACATTACAGCCCTGCCCTGCCAGCAAGCCGGGCCTGGAACATGTCTTCCGCCCACTTTGTGTTCCTGGCCTTGGCAGATCATGGGATACCCTAGGATTCAGGGGGGCCTCATTCAGGGCAACCTTTAGTCAAAGAGTTTAGGGTTTTTGGCTTAGGGTTTAGAATCCTTGGATGTGGGTTGTTCTTAAGAACTTATCTACCTTACATAATATGGAAATGAATATACCTAGCATGTGTATACGTGTGTGTATAAGTGAAGGGGACACGGTCGAGGTCGCGGCACCTGTAGGGTGTAGTCAACTTGCTGGCTTCGGTAAGGAATGAAAGAAAGAACAAAGGAATAAATGAATGAATGAATGAATCAATAAATGCATGAATGAGAGGGACTGAGAAATTACTATATCATGTAGGGGATACTGTAGGGATCTATTCCCCGATTAGCAACCGAGCGTTCTTGAGAGGTGCGCTGTGGCCAAGACTTTTCATTACACTGAGACAGGACAGACCTCAGGCACAGACACTGCAAGCAGTGGCCCATGTAGACAACTGCTAGACTCTTGGATGCAAGAAATGTACAGAGTTTGAGAATCACAGCTTCCGGCGAATTCTTTCATCGTAAAAACCCAGCCCTCCTACGAATACCAAGGTGCCCTCGGTAACAAATACAGTATCATTCAATAGCCCTTGTACTGATCAGAGCCCATGTCCCCGAGCCAGGACCAAGAGGCCATGATCACACCGCCGTTGATCCGCTCCTTTCCGTTCTTCAGCCAGTCTTCGTTGGTGAGGAACCTTTGCTAAACGTTTGGGATGACGGGCTGGAGGTCTTCAAGATCGCATTTTGCGTGGGCCGGACGTTCAATCGCTTCGGGAAGTACCTGGTCACCTAAAACACTCGTCACCCAACATCCCTAAACTAAGGCATCCCAAGCCAATCTTTGAAAAGCTTTTCTCTGATTGCATGTATGCTCCCTCTGCACTGTGCCGTCAAGAAGCACATCCACGTTCTGATCGTGCATCTGTTGGGCAATGCCCCCCAAAATGTTCACGCTATGCCTTGCTGCTGCAACGCGGAATGCACACGGGAACTGCTGGCGGCAATTTACAACGCCTCCCTAGATGCGGATTTTGAGGCACCCTCACTTCAGCATCAGCAGGCCTCACGAGAGCGGCGTCCGCGTCCAGAAGCACCATATGGGTGAACTTCTGCTCGCTGAGCAAGTAGTCCTTGAGGGGAGTGGATGAAGGGTTACAAGGTTGGTGTGATGCAAGAACTTCAGGGCTTAAGGTTAATGACTTTCAGGGGTTGGGGTAATTGTGACTAGGGTTGAAAGGTCTCTCTTGTGCATCTACACCAGGACAATGATCTGCTATCAGGTGCGTGCATACAGGCTTCCTGAATCTGCTTGACATGATCGCGCGTGGTCGGTCTCTGTACTTCGGAAACTTTGTCTCAAAGTCTTACAAAATGAACCTTTGCGGTGCCGTTCAAGTACTAGGAGCCGCGTAAGGACACGAAGCGAGAACGGTGCCCCCACAAGCCTTCCCAAATCAGCCTAGCAATAAGACGGATAAGGGAGAAACACACCATCCTTTTCCTTTGTCCGGAAACCACTGCCATATCCCCAAAATAGAAGAAGACGAGATGACTCGCCTTGTCCCAAGGTGGGGTCTCGCACATATCATATTAGCCGTCTTCTATGGTGGACGGCTTCATAGAGAGACTAATCGTCTTGTCGACGGGTAGATGGGGGATCTGGAGACAAAAGACGACAAATGTGAAGAGTGACCGCAACTACCCACATGTGCAATGTGCTCAGACCCCTAAAGCCCTAAACAGTAGTTTCCATTATATTTTCCACTATCCCAATATCACCCCAATATAATCCCTACATAACCCTTTGGTAGTTTCCATTTTCTTTTCCAGTATCCCAATATAACCCACCCCGGCAGGCTTGTAAACACAAATCGGTTCTGAAAAGAACCCAGCTTCGACGAAGAAGGGAAACTTCTCCCAGCAGAAGTTCTCCCTTTCCCAGCCTTGGGGGAAAACCCTGGCCGTCATTCTAGAGTTTAGGGCTTGTTTTTTCTGAGTTTGGAACTTGAGGGCTGGCTGTTCTCTCTTGAATAGTCGGGCTTGCCGCTGAGCATTCCGAAGTTTTCAAATAGTTGATGTAGCAGAGGATGCGTATGCACAGAATGGAATGAGTACCTGACCGTTTGATTTGGTGCACTACCCTACTTCCGCCCACTTTAGTTGGTCACAGGCTGTGGAAGTTGAATTCAAGGCTCTTGGATCCACACCCAACGACTTGCAACGCCCAACGAACTGAAGCTGCATTTTCCTTCATTTCACGACAGCCTATTTCCCTTGGTGAGGCTCCTTTACATGACATGTAGTTTAAGGAAGCCAAAGCAACCGCTGAACCGAGGGGATCACAACTTTCCTAGACCAAATGAGTTCACCTTACTCGGGCTGCAGTCACGAGTCCCTGTCTACATCAATGTTCTGCATGATGTCATGAGGGACTATCCACCGCGTTGCTACATGCCTCCAAGCTGCGTTTGATGCACTCATCCCTGGCCTTAAGACGGTGCTTGTTCTTACCAGTCTCGCACCTGGGTGTGGCAGTCATTTGGGCTATAGTCTGAACTCCTTAAAGGGGGTTATATGAAGGATTATGCATGGGGACTAGTATAGCGGTGATTAAGGGGGATACTAGGAGTTCAGACTATGGCTGATTTGGGCTTAGGGCTTGGAAGTGTCTAAAGACTCAACTCACCTCTTAGGCTTCCCCAAATGCAGGCTTCCTAAAATTAGGGGTGCCAGTACTTTGAATTCTATATTAGGGCCCCACTATTTTGGGAAACTACCACATCTTCGGCAGCTATGCATTTGAAGAGTGCTGTGGCGTGTGGAAGCTGAGACAATGAGTGCAGTTCCCAATGTAATCTCTAGGCACGAAGCTCATGATGCAAGACCCGCCCCTTGTTTTGACATCCTTGCTGTTTGCCCTAAACTCTAAGCCCCCTCCTGAATCCAACGCCCAGGGTGCTGGTGCTGCTGCCAGCCCGTCAACTGCAGTGTAGGTCGCCATCGGATGACCATAGCATGACCATGCTTCCTGTTTAGGGTTTAGGGTTTAAGGTTTGGGATTTTCGGACCCTGAGTTATAGATCATAGCCGAGTCAGGTGAGGATTATGTCTGTAAGGATTTCATGCTGGGGTCAGACAGGGAGAATGTGGAGTTTAGAGGCGTATAAGGATGGTAGCAAGGTATGATAGGAATTATCAGATGGCTTTGTCCAAGCCCAGATCCCCTTCAACATTCCAAACCTCTGCTTCGGTAGTCTTGGCACATTGAGGACTAAACCCTAAACCCTAAACCGCGGGGAGACCTCCTAGTCCGACAACTTTCCAGGGCCCAAGATTCAATAGAAACAAGTCAATGCCCCACGTGAGGGGTGTGCGGGGTTTGAGGCTGAGGCATGGGGGTGTGGGGTGTACATGCCACGAGTTGGGCAAGTGGGAGTCCAGGTTTGGAGCTCTGAATGTATAGTCCCCCTGGAGTAGATAGAATATGGGGTATACGGGGATCTTATTATAATATACCCAAAGCCTTATTCTATCTACTTAAGGGGGACTATATACGTACACAGCGTAATTTTATCAAAAAAACATGTAAGACGTACACATGCAGACTTTTCTGTACAGATGAAGTTGGGCCAGTTGGGTGGTAAGGACGTCTACGGGAGTGCCCTCGCACAGATAGTACTGTAGACCCTGTGAGATCTGTATGACTAGTTGCTTCATCAGCTGGCAGCTGGCTTCAAATTCTGCCTGGGGGAGGGAGAAGGTGTCGACTAAGGAAAGTAATAAGCCTCAGGAACCTCCAAAAAATGATAGGACAAATGTCTTATGGTCTCGCGCACCATGTTTGCAAGTCCCTATTCATTGGGTACTGGTTGGATAATATCTATCATATCGTTGTATAAAACCCTTAAGCCTTTATATGACCCGGAATTTGGACAGTTACAGGGCGGGGGCAGTACCCAATCTGTTCAGCTGTTGAACTCGTTCTGGACCCGTGGACTTACCACGGTTGACCTTTGACTCAGGGCATGGGACCTTTTTGGGGGTCCCCATAACAAGGATAATAGCATTTTGAGGTCTTTGGTGGGGTCCCCTACTTTGGAAAAAAACTACAATATTTACAGTGGATTACAAGAAGGGGCAGATTGATCATGAGGCTTGCACAGGGGCTTCTTCGGGGCCCTGTAACTGTTTCGACAGGGAACACGCAAAACTGGCACAGGAATAATCAGGGGCCTTGTCGGAGGTCCCTCAGTCCTTAGAATAAAACATCCATTTGTGAGTGGGTAAACCAGGAACCCTTGTTGTGGAAAGCAGTCATGTGAGGCATAGAAAAACCGAATGGGTGATAATCCATTTAAAGCCTAGCTTGGGAAAATAGCATTGCCTCAACACAAGCTTCCCTGCATAGCGCCACCCGACTATACACTATACACCGCTCTCCGATGACCCCTGGGCCCGCGTAAAGGCGCGATCTATAAAGTGCATGAACGTTTTGCGAGAATTCTCCGAGAGCTCAGGAAATTCCTAGGAAAGCCGCTGTGCATATGAGGGTTTCTCAAAATTATGGATTTTTTGGGCGGATCCCCATAGTAAGAACTATAGTCCTACTATAGTATTTTAGGGTCTATATTGGAGTCCCCCTATTTTGAGAAACTACCATATCACTGCCAGCAAGAACCGGGATGAACCTCCTGCGTCTTGCCTATGCCTTCCCCGCACAGACGGTCAATAGACCTTCCGCATACCACATAAACTTCTAAGAGTCTAAGAGCTGCTGTCAGCTGAGCTGAGCAGAGCAGATCCAAGAAGAGCCAACGTCGTGGGTTCTGAAAATCATGGGCCCCTGTTTGTACTTCTCGTACACGTTGTGCTGGCGGCACTTGACATGTATGCCCACATCAGAAGCAACACCATGTTGTGTGCCACACGCCCACGCTGTAGCTGTAGAGCTTAACTAAAACTTGGTGTCTGAGCTGACGAATGTTGATGAAAGTCAAGTGCGTTGGGGCAGAGCATGGGGTGGCATGCAATTGGATCCTACTAACCAATTGTACCTACAAGCAGAAGTGGCATGCGCTGAAGAGGGGCCAGTCGCAGGCCTTACAAGCACCAGGCCCTTTCAGAAGTCCGTTTCGGTCATGCTGATTGCTAGCATACCAGCCTCGAGCGGTATGCTAGCCACGTGGCAATTGCTCCGAGCAGCAAAAAAACGTAGTCCGCAATGTAGTACCGTGGCGCAAAAAGCAGCCAAAGGAGCTGCTCCATCACAATGAAGATGAGAAACGTGAGAACCCCAGCAGCCACGACCCCTAAAGAGACCATGATATCCAATGCCAGGCAGCTGCATCGGACCCTGAGTTTGCTGCAGAGGCTCAGAGCCAAACTGAAGCAGCACGGAAGGATGACCAAGGCATAGGAACAGGCGCGAGGTGGCAACCCAATGATGACCACATAGTCTTCCTTGGCCCAGGCCCACACCACCCAGTCCACAAAGACCCACAGCGCTGGGGTCGACGCTTGCACGATGCGGCGATAGGAGAAGGCCTCGCTTGCCAGCTGTCTACGAAGTGCCTCGCGCAAATCTGTCCGCACATAGTGTTGGAAGGTCTCCAGCGATCCGAACCATCTCTGGACACATCCTTACTGGCTCTTTTGATTTGCGGATTTGTGCGCAGAGCTGTCTTCTTTTTTGCAACCGGGCTGAGCATGTTGCCGGGCGATGCACTTGCACCATCAGAAGCTCAAAGGCATTCCAATGCTTTACGGAACCATCCATGGGGAGCAGAATCAATAAGCAAAGCAACCTCAAACTTAGCATAGAATTTTCGGCACA